TGTTCTACCTTCTATTCTAATGCACGAACAGGAGGAGAATGTTCTAGAGCAGTACATTGAAGTTTCTCAGCTAATCATCCAGGTTAGAGGTCTCTTTATAATTACTTCAAATGGAATTGACAGTAGTATCCATTTTTTACAATTGTTTTTAAATGCTTTATTCATATGATTTTTATGGTTTAGGTACAGTAATTGCATCCCACTAGTCCAGTGTCATAGCAGTATTTAAAGTTTGGCGCCTATGCCAACTTCCAAACAGTGTGTACATCAACCATACACTTGAGAAGGAGAAATCAAATGAATAACTACAAAATGGGAAATAAGTGGGTAGGCAGTAATCCTGCTGAAAGTGATCTGGGGGGTAAAGTGGAACACAAATTGAATATGAGTCAGCAATCTGATACAGTTGTGAAAAAGACTAATATTCTGAGGGTTTATTAACATGAGTGTAATTTATTACCACAGGAGGTAATTATCCCTCTTTACTCAGAACTGGGCGAGGCCTCAGCAGGAGTACTGTGTCCAATTCTGGGTGCCTCACTTTAGGAAAGATATGGACAAATTGGAGAAGGTCCAAAGGAGAGCAACAAAAATTATAAAAGATTTTGACAATCTGACCTTTGAGAATAAAAATACTCAGGGGCAGAGGGTAGGGATAGGATACAGAGGGCCCTAGACAAATTAGAGGATTGGGCCAAAAGAAATCTGATGAGGTTCAACAAGGACAAGTGCAGAGTCCTGCACTTAGGACGAAAGAATCCCATGCACCGCTACAGACTAGGGACCAAATGGCTAGGCAGCAGTTCTGCAGAAAAGGACCTAGGAGTTACAGTGGACGAGAAGCTGGATATGAGTTAACAGTGTGCCCTTGTTGCCAAGAAAGCCAATGGCGTTTTGGGATGTATAAGTAGGGGCGTTGCCAGCAGATTGAGGGACGTGATCGTTCCCCTCTATTCGACATTGGTGAGGCCTCATCTGGAGTACTGTGTCCAGTTTTGGGCCCCACACTACAAGAAGGATGTGGAAAAATTGGAAAGAGTCCAGCGGAGGGCAACAAAAATGATTAGGGGACTGGAACACATGACTTAGGAGGAGAGGCTGAGGGAACTGGGATTGTTTAGTCTGCGGAAGAGAAGAATGAGGGGGGATTTGATAGTTGCTTTCAACTACCTGAAAGGGAGGTTCCAAAGAGGATGGATCTAGACTGTTCTCAGTGGTAGCAGATGACAGAACAAGGAGTAATGGTTTCAAGTTGCAGTGGGGGAGATTTAGGTTGGATATTAGGAAAAACTTTTTCACTAGGAGGGTGGTGAAACACTGGAATGCATTACCTAGGGAGGTGGTGGAATCTCCTTTCTTAGATATTTTTAAGGTCAGGCTTGACAAAGCCCTGGCTGGGATGATTTAGTTGGGGATTGGTCCTGCTTTGAGCAGGGGGTTGGACTAGATGACCTCCTGAGGTCCCTTCCAACCCTGATATTCTAAGATTCTATGACCTGATAAGTCTTGAAATATGTTACTCCTGGGGGAATTCTGCGCCAAAAAATTAAAAATTCTGTGCACAATATTTTAAAGTTCTGCATATTTTATTTGTAAAAAGAGAACAATATAATCACACCAGTTTCAATTATTTTGGTAATTTGTTTCAAAATACCTGTCAATAAGTATGTCTGTAACAATTCAGGCAACGAAAAAGATTCAGGAAATGTTTTTTGACAGATAGATCCCTTACTAGGCATAATATAGAACTCTGAATAATAGTTCATTTAAACTACAATACAGAACCATATTTCCCACACCGCTCAGAACCAGCGCAAAGGCTTGGAGAAGTCCAGGGTAACGGAGGAGCTGAGGGAGAGGGAAGTAATTGCTGGGAAAGAGCCTGGGTGTGAACTTGGAGGTTGTTGGGTGTGAGTTGGAGAAAAATGGAAGGGTTTTTTGGGGGGTTGGGGTAGGGAGGGATTGTTAGGGAGCCTCCCTCACGCCGACCTTGGCTGACCCCTAGCCTCTCCCATTCAGTTAGGCACATCTGCTCCTGTCTCCATGTGTCCCTCCACCCCCCCAATCCTCGTGTCCTCGCATCCCCCACTCAGCCACCTCTCCTCCCCCATCCCCATGTGTTCCTGCACCCCCTCTCCCATTCCAGCACCATGCCCCATGTGTCTGTGTGCCCCCACTCAGCCACTGCCCTTCCCCCATCCTCATTTGGTGCTGCACCACCTTCTCCCTGTTCCCATGTGGCCATGCGCCTTCACTCCCATTCAGCCCCAGTCCGTCTGTCCTCCCCCAATAGCCCTTAAGAATGGGATCCCCCAGCAGTCCCATGTGACTTACACTGTCTGTTCCCTCATATCCCCTGTCTCCTGACCAGGCCCCACCGGCAGGGTGCTGTCTTCTCTTCCCTATCGGCAGTTGGGGCTGGCCCAGGAGAGGCTGCTCTGTTCTAGCACTACAGTGGCCCCTGATGGGCAAAAAGCGTAACTGCAGCAACTTTCCAGAAGAAATTACTTTCTGCAAAAAGTTTTTCGCTCGGCACGTGAATTCTGGGCGTGTGCAGTAGCCCAGAATTCCCACAGGAGGAAATATGTTAGGGTCTTTTATAAAGAGGACTCTGAACAGTTGTTTTCCATGTCCTCTGAAGGTATGACAAGTATTAATATGCTTAATCGGTGGCAAGGGAGATCTAGGTTAGATATTTGGAAAAGCTTTCTAACTATAAGGGTAGTTAAGTTCTGCAACAGGTTTGCAAGGGAGGTTGAGGAATCCCCATCACTAGGGACTGTAAGAACAAGTTAGATATGCACCCGTTGTGGATGGTCTAGGTATGCTTGGTCCTGCTTTAGCACGGATGGACTAGATGAACTCTCAAGGTCCCTTCTAGACTTATATTTCTATGATTCTATAACCCTTTACCTGGCTATGGAGTTGTGTGCCCTATATAGCTGAGAGGGAGGATTGGGTTCATGAAAATTTCATGCTTTATTTGTTGGATTTTCTGTGGCACTCATCACCAAAATATCTGTGCACCTCATAATGACCTTGTGAGGTAGGGAAGTATTGCAAAACCCAGATCTCATACATCTCAGTCCAGTGCTGTAGCTGCTTGAATGATGGGTACTTTATTATGTCATACCCTGTTTTAATTATTTTATAGCTTTTTTTTTTTAAACTGCATTCCCTTGTTTAAATGCAGCAGCATCATACTGTCAAGCACAACAACTGTGAAGGAATATACATATTAGGTATGTGGCCCCCATTACTACAGTACTTGAGCACCTCACCATCTTTAATGTATTTATCCTCAAATACCCCTATGAGGAAGTGTGACAGATTTGCTCAGTTTTCTAGAGGAAGTCTGTGAAAGATAAAGGATTTGAACTTAGGTCTCCAAAGTCTCAGGCTAATGTGCTAACCACTGAACCATCCTTCCTCTAAATCTCTGTTTCACCATCTATTAAATGGGATAATTTTTGTAAAGGAATATATTCATTCATGTTTGTATGGAAAAAATTATATAAAAAAGCCAAGTGGTAAACAGTATACCTACAAAGATGTTGATGACTGCTAGTGGGAGAATACTGTGAAAAGGATTTTTATTCATATTTAATAAGAATGTTCCAGAGCACAAGAATTTGGTCAAGGATTTTAAATATAATTCTTCTTCAAGTGATAGCACATGTCCATTCCACTTCATATGTGTGCACCCAATGCACTATTGTTGGAGATTTTTTCCTCAGCAGTACCTATCCAGGCAGCAAATGCGCCTTCTGTCTCCTCATGCTGGCTGTGTGATGGTATAAAGGGCAGAGCTGCCCCTGACCCTCCTCAGTTCCTTCTTACTGCCCCTGACAGCTATTGGAGTGTTCTTCCTTGCTAATGCAAGTTTTTCCTTATTCTTAGCATTGTATATAGTTGGTACCAGTGATTCAATAATCTTCATGCCCCGTACTAATAGTCACTTGTTAGGATTTGCCAGCTACTGGAATTCAGCACCCAGTACCATGGGCACCTCCAGATACTGTAGTACCTCCTTGTTCAGTGCCATCAAGAGGTAAATGACCATGATTTCACCAGTGCTGTTTTCTCCAGACTTCTGGCACTGACAAGAACCACACCTCCTTGGTCAGATGATTCTGGTTCATTGTCAGAGTCAGAAGTGGGCTCTTATGTCACGGCTTTGTCACGTTAACCGTCACTCTTCTCTGAGGAGTTTCCACCCTGATATCCAGTGGAAGCCCCCCATTCACCAGCTGGTAGAGACCTTTGGTCAGGAAGAAATTGTGGCCCGGGACCCTATCAGTGGCCGTATTGGAACCCTTGCAGGTTTTCTCCTGCCTCCAGATCACCTTTGCATCCTCTTCTCTCTATGTTCTCCGGTAGGTGTCACGATGCTACTGCAAGAAGCTGTTCCCAGTACTGGGCTCAGTGCCAAAGAGGAGTAATCTGCTCAGATGAATCCCCCCTTGCAAGAATTGGAGGAGATTGCACCTCAGCCAGCCTTGGCTTTCTTCTTCTCATCGCCAGATGATGTAGTTGTGTTGGAGGGCTCCTTACCTCCACTGGATGATTCTAGAGTCCATCAGGACCTTCTACAGAATGTGGCTTCTGCCACAGATATTCAGGTGGAAGTGGCTCAAGAGGTCTCACAGATAAGTTATTAATTTGGGATCTGTGGGACCTTCTCAAGTGGTGCTCCCAACAAATCAGTCTATTCTGGCGCCTACTAAAGTTCTGTGGCAAATTTCTTCCCTACTACCTATACTGAAAGGAATTGAGTGGAGATATTATGTTCCTTTGCAGGGGTTTTAATGTTTTTATGCCTCTCCCCACCCCCTTGCTCTCAGGACCTTTGGCGGGCTCAGTTAACAATGAGGGAGAGTGCAGGGTCAGCAAGCACCTACCTCAAAATCAAAGGATGTGAAGAAGCTTGTTCTTTTTTGGAAGGAACTTTATTCAGCAGCTGGACTACAGCTCCGGATCACTAATCAGCAAGCTTAGCTGGGGTGTTCTGCTTTTTTCCCTCTGGGACAATGTTTTAAACTTTATGAACAAGTTGCCAGAGGAGGCAAGACAAATTTTCTGGCTTTGGTGGACGAGAGGAAAATGGTGAGCATGACCTCGCTTCAGGCAACATTAGTTCTTCTTTGAATAGTGTCCCTGTGAGTGCTCCAGTTTTAGGTGGCAGTGTGTCCTGGCGCTATCGATCGGAGATTTATGGTAGCAGTGTCTACGTGGGTTGTGCGTGCGCAGTAGGTATCTCGTGGTGCCATTGGTGCTGTGTGTGGCATGCACACGACCCGAGCCCTCCAGTTCCTTCTCAACCATTCTCGGCCGAAGACGGAACGAAGGGGCAGTGTTAGCACTTCTCCCTAAAACCATTAAGAAATAGCTTTTAGATAGATATTTAGATAAGTTGTTATAGAGTTAGTTAGTGTCAGTGTTAGGGGGGGGAAAAAAGGTCTTGTTAGTTCGTTAGACAAACCCTCCCTTAAGGGACGGTTACTAGTTAAAATGCCTGGGTCTCCAGCCTTCAAACGATGTGGCTTCTGCCGTGATGCCATGCCCATTTCAGACGGACACTTTTTATGCATACGCTGCCTGGGTGAGGGGCATATTCCCCAGAAATGCCCCCACTGCAGCAACCTGAAAGCTGGAGCCCAACGGGACAGGGATCTCCGGCTTAAAATGATCTTAATGGAGAAGTCCCTCCAGCCTGAGGCAGACAAGCAAACAGCCTCTCCAGGCAAACCTCAACTACTACACAGAGTAGTGGTAAAAATCAAGCAGGCTCAATCTCAAGTGATACTCGTAGCACCAGTGTGGCCTTGCCAACATTTATTCTGCTGAACCTCTCAACCAGGGATCAGTTGACATTGCTAGTGGACCCAGATCTCACAGGACCTGTTACCCGCACAATCTAGGGCACCCCACCTTCACCCTACCGTGGGCTCAAGGAGTAACCCAGTTAATTTAGCCACCCCACCCTTTCCTGTCCTAGGTTCAGGGGACAAGGGCGTATGTGGGTTTGTGGGACCTTTTACCAGTGAAAGAGCCTTGCACAGTAATATCATAGATCAATTATTAATAAATATAGGTTAACAGAATACACATGCGAAGCATATAATGCTCAACACTCCCAACAAGGCTGTCAAATTTTTCTTGATGGCCAGTCAGGATCAGGTCATCTGGGGCTCCAGCTTCTGAATGGTGTGGTCAGCAGGGTGTGATGGTTTTGGAAGCTCTGACCTTGGGCTATGTTCTGGAGTTCGGTTCCAAATAACTTCCCGTTGGCCCCCAGTTTATATAGTTAAAACTTGGGTCCTACTTAGCAATCCCTTAACCAATCATTTTAAACTGAAGTACTACAAAACAATATTTTTCACCAATCCTAGCCTACTACCTAAAAGTTCATTTGTTTCTGTCAAAATGTAAATGAAAGAACACACAGTGATAACTATAGGTAAACAAATGGAAGTATTACAAATTTAAAAACAGACAAAAGCAATAAATTGTATCTTTTCAACTGAAACTGCTGATAAGTGGTGTTGCCAGGTAGTGTCATCTTGCAAAGTTTTCTTTACACACCTTAAGATTTGTCTGTCTGGTCACTATTTGTGCTATTAGGACAGAAATGCTTCATAAAAACCCAATATTATATTATTTTGGTTCAGTTTAGATGGGATGTGACTCCCAGCTTCTTAGCTCATAGCTGCTGCTGTCCTACTATAGCAGCTGCTGCTGCTGCTGCTTACTGCAGAAGGGCCTTGGCCTACAGAACATGGTCACCATAACTGGGAGGCCCTTCACCTCACAGTCTAGATGATCCATGGTTAACAACTCAGGAGGAAATATGTTCAAAGGAGGTACAAAACGTCCTCTTAAATAATAGAAAATATTCTAATAGGTATACTTGCCTGGTCAAGTGGAAGAGATTCTCCGTCTCGTCCCAGCAGAAAGGCATTCACCCAATCCGAGCTCTGATACAACATGTGCTAGACTATTTGTTATAAATGAAACAGCAAGGCCTTGTCATTAGTTCTACTAAGGTTCACCTAGCAGCTATCTTGACTTTTCACCCTCCAGTTGATCAGTCACTTTTCTCCAGTCCCATGTTGCTCAGGTTTTTGAAGGGTTTGAACAGGTTATATCTCCAAGTAGAGAGGCTCCTGTTCCCCCTAGCATTTTGAAACGGGTTTTAACAAAACTAATGGGTCCATCCTTTGAACCGCTGGCTACCTGTTCATTGCTCTAAGTCTCACTGAAAGTAGCATTTTTGATGGTAGTCACCTCAGCCAGGAGAGTGGGTGAATTAAGGGTTCTGGTGTCTGACCCTCTGTATACATCAATCAGGCAATATATTTACTAAATTCACCAACATGATCACAAGGGGGAGTGTGTTAGTGTTTTACTTGGACAGAACTAAACTGTTAGATCGTCCTCGCAGTTGTTTGTGGGAATTGCAAACAGAATGAAGGGCTTTCTCGTTTGTTCTCAAAGAATCTTGTCCTGGATTCCTTCCTGTATCCATTTGTGCTATGTCATGGTTACTGTAACTCCACCAAATAGGATGATAGCACATTCAACCCCATCGCAGGCAGCCTCTGCAGCCTTTTTAGCCCATGTGCCTATTCTGGATGTTTGACGAGCTGCAGTTTGGTCTACAGTACATACATTTGCCCCTCATGCTATCTCCCAACGGTCTACAAATGATGCCAGATTTGGATTGTGTGGTCCTTCAATTGTTATTCAGGTAGACTCTAATCCGACCTCCAGATCAAACTGCTTGTGAATCACCTGACATGGAATGGACATGCTATCACTCGAAGAAATGGTTACTAACTTGTTCTGTAACTGTCCTTCGAGTTGTTTCGCACATGTCCATTCCATGACCCACCCTCCTTCGCCTCTATATTGGAGTCCGTCGAGTAAGAAGGAACTGGGGGATCAGGGAAAAATCTCTGAGAACAGTGCACTGGGTGCGCGCACATCTGAAGTGGACTGGACATGTGCAACACAACTTTAAGAATAACAGATACAGAACAGGCTAGTAACCTTTTGTCTCATAATAGGGGTTTAAAAAAGTGAAATTACCAATGGATCAAATTGGTCATGATTTCGGGTATCCCAAATTTATCCATTCCATAATACAAAGTTACACCTTCACCTTCTGAGAGCACCACGGTGTGCCTAAGCAAAATTAGTAAGTGGATGCAGGCTTTGTTACTCTTCTGAGATATTATGGGATATTCTCCTAGTGAAAAAGCTGACAGATAGAGGAATAGTGGGGGGTTTTAATATAAATCTGTTTCTGGACTATGAGAGAGACAAAAGAAAGACTTGGGAAATACATACATTTTGTGCTACTGTAAAACTTTTACAGTCTTTAGCTTCTGTTTTAGTGCTCTTGCTCTCTCTAATTATTAGATGTTAACTTCCGCTCCTATATATGCTCTCACACCAAAAAGTTACAATACTGTAATGTTATATTACATTTTTTCTTTGTATTTACTCAGGGCAGGTCTACACTTAAAATGCTTCTTCCATCAGCATAGTTAATCCACCTCCATGAGAGCTGTTAGCTATGTTAACAGGAGAACCTGTCAACATAGTGCTCTCAACACGGAGTTACGTTGGCATAACTGCATTGGTCGGGGTGTGGATTTTTCACACCCTTGAGCAACATGGTTATACCGATGTAAGTTTATAGTGTAGACTGGCCTCAGTCTGAAAAATATTAAATACAAATGTTTTTTAAAATTCCTAACTTGATTTGCTGGTTTATTATTTTTAGCTAATACTAAAATATTTCTCTTAAATATAATCTAGGGTTGATGCATTTTTCCTTCTCTTGTCTAGGCATATCTGACAGTGTGTAAGGATGCTATAATGGTTGGTCTTGGAGATTCAGAGTTTCAAGCACACCTTTTAGATGTTACTCTTTCAATTATGCAAACAGGTACACTCTAATAACAATGTTTGTAGTAATCGCTTCTTCCTCTATGCTGCTGTAAGGGGTGTTTTTTCTCAAATACTCTCTTCCTCTCCCAGAGACTCCTGGTTGCTTTAAGGAGAAGAGTTAGGGAATACATTTCTGCTACATTAGCATAGCCTCTGGCTCTGCTTTGGATCTTCTTCCCCCATGAACAAACTCCAGTGTGTGCCTCTGCTGATGTTCGTAGCTTCTGCTAGCAGCAATAGTGTGAATCAATGTGACATGATTCTCAAGTTTCTTCTTTGAGTGCTTGCTCATGTCAATTCCATTCTAGGTATGTGCACCCACACATCCACAGTTGTCGGAGACTTTTTGTTTCAGCAGTATCCATTGGGCCGGCTGTGGTGCCCTCTGGAGTGCCACGCTTATGCGGCAGTATATCTGGTGCCGGCGGCCCTACGCCCTCTCAGTTCCTTCTTACCGCATGTGACGGTTGTTTGGAGCGCCTGGTCTTGCTTAGCAAGAGTATTAGCAGTTCTTCACTATTCAGATCATTCTCCTTTGTTATTGAGTCAGCGATGAGTTAGCTGTTAAGTGTTTCAGTAGTAGTTTAGTAGTTAGTCTTGGATGGGAGTTTGTCCTGGAGCAGGGCATGCCCCGCTCCCCATGAGCTTCAAGCCGTGTTCTGAGTGCAGCTGGTCAATGCCCATCAGCAACTCTCATGAGAGTTGTCTGAAGTGCCTGGGGGAGTCCCATAGAAAAGACAAGTACTGGAGCTTCAAAAACTTTAATTCCCAAATTCAAAAAGAGCGGGACATTCAATTAGGGGCCCTCCTCATGGAGGCTGCTCTGTGCCCGGCATCAGAGCCCTCGGACTCGGACTCCACGCCCAGTACTTCAGCGTTAGCACACAGTGCGCCGCCAGCACCGGGATCTGCCCAGCACCATTCCCCCTCACCGGTACCAAAGAAGCAGTCTAAGTCGTCTGGTCGGCAGGCACCACACAAGAGAACTTTGGGCAAAGGACCCGAGTTAGGTCTTGTGCCTGCAACAGAGGCTCTGGGGGTACCGCTGTCATCAGACCCCGTAGCCGAGCCTGAGACGGGCACAGTAGCCAAAGAATAGTTAGGCCGACCAGCACCGCAGATGCCTGACCGCATGGTAGATCCCACCAAGACACCAGCTCAGATGACCACTCCAGTGATGGGACCGCCCCTAAAGGCAGTGGAACGCCCCCAGACCGCAGGCGTTGTTCCCCTTTGCCATGGCCGAGGACCCCAGTGCCGCAACCCCGGTCTCCAGCCAGAAGGTGCAGATCTGACACCACGGTCTCTGCCTACAAGACATGGAACTCAAGAGTCGCGATGCTGATCCCCATACTTCTGGTACTGACGGTCTTCCTGCCAGAGATTGCCATGGCACTGGTCGCCTCACAGA